TTTCCCCTTCTTGATTATGAGAAGGGCTTAACTGACGTTGCCTCGGCCAAAGCTAAGTAGTTCTTTGTTTGCGTCAATCGACATGTGGGGCAAACTTGCCCATTCCAACGCTGACTGAAGCTGGTGGAACTCATGCCTATTTTAACTATGATAAGGCCTGCGCGCTTAGCGAGCAGTACTTAAGGTTCTTGTTCCGCGAAACAAACATGTTGTGCATAATACTAGTCTCAAAAATACTTGAAGCTATCTTTTAGGCGAACGTTGTGTGAGGAGTTCCAGTTTCCTAGGTTGTTGAGTAGAGTAAACCCAACCAAAGTATCCAGGCAAGATTCTGTATATCCTGTGTCGCTACACGAATTGGTAAGTGGACTGAGTAGGGCGATGACATGTGTATTCCTGAACTCAGTCAGAAGCTGCATCTTTCGTGCTGAACGAAAGGAATCTGTGAGTTGCCTTAATCTCAAGTGCCGTAGCAAGGACCTATCGGTTAACTATAGGCTTGTCATCTTGAGTAGCTTGCTGGCTAAAGTACTACAAAATGGTAACTTATTCGGTGAAGGAGCAGATGAATAAGTTCAGGCTGTTTGTTGCTGTGCAACACGAATTTCGCGAAGGATTTACGTGTCTAACTAACTTACAGCTACCACATGAGAGCTAAGCTGAAGCCGTTGACAGTGGACACGGTTGAACCTGCTGTTTGTTGACTTTGCCAAGACTTCTTACACTATCCCCTATTCGATGCTCTCGCCGATCTTGCGATTCTATGAATCAACTGGTCGCGCTTTTCCGTGGGTGGCGCCTTCACTGGCTAGACGGAAACAGTGTGTAGACGTTGGATATAGTCCATTTTTGCGATAAGTTGTTCTTAGCGGCGTCCCGCAGAGCTCTGTCGTACGGTCGCGGCGATTCGCTATCTACATAAACCACTTGTTTAAGGAGTTTGAGCTGCCATTGATCTTATCTGCTGATGGCTTAATCTTTTGAAACGTTATAGACGTCCATGGACTCCTGGGTCTCATGATCGAGCTCTAGACGATTCTCGGGATTGACTAATTTGCGGTTCTTGCCTGCAAATCGGCCAAATGGTTCAGTGCTCCGTATCGACGCGGTTGATATCTCAAAGTTATATGAGTGTGATTCATCAGGTTGAGCAAAGCGCCATCTACATTTCCACTATTCACTTTGAAAACAACTGGAAGTAGGTGGCTCCTAAAGGGTTCAGTAAATGGTTGCTTATACAACCTACTTTCAGAACGGTAACCATGGATTTGTCTGTTAAATTCTTCCCGGCTTTCGTTCGGTCCCATCTAGAATACTGCGTCCAGTCTTGTCTACCCTGCCTGTTGCGAGACAAGATGTGGTTGGATGGAGTTTTTCTAGTAGATGCGAGGTTGTTTGAGGGCTACGAGGTCAGACGTACCCCGAGCACCCACTCAGTTTGGGGATATGTTCGATGCACTAATTAAATGATCGATAAAGGCCTGGTCATCACTTATCGGATCTTAACTTGGTTGGTTGGAATGGATTTGTCTTGCGTGTTTAGCCTGGCCAGGCCGTCTGGTCCGTACGGTCATCCCATGCAGTTAAACATGCCACGTTCTGACGGGAAAAGTGCGGAAACTCGGTTATCGCGTCGCTAAGGAAAGCTGGAACTCGCTTCCAGAAACTGTGGCCAAGGAAGCTACATTTGAAGTATTGGGCGTTATCTGGACGCTCTTGGGGGCAAGACAGAATATTTCCCTTCTGTTGACTATATCTATCTCCGTACCTCGTTTATATTTTCTGTGCTACAGTTTATTTATTGATATACTGCTTTATTTTTACGACATTTTTCGTACTTTCCATTTGCATCCTTTATTTTGCTTTATTTATGCAAGAAATGAGAATAGTTCTTGGTTGACCAGGGTGTGGTTGGGTTGTTCCGGTTTAGATCCATCAAAAACTTGCAGAACCTTATCATTACTGGTTCCAGGATCCACTGACGAATGCACATTCACGGGATTATCTTGTTGTTCCAGGCCCCTTTGAACTTGTTTTTGACTTGTCCTGATGTTGACAAAAGTGTAGTTCCTCGTTCCCGTAATATAAACTAAGGATCCGCATGGGTCGTTTTAGGATGGTTAAACAGATTTTTTACCAGTTACTTCGGACAGATTTTCCATTCCAACGGTGAGCCGATGAAGGAAGACTTAGTTCATACAGATGGTGTAGAATTCCGCACTTTTAAACTGTGGCGATTTATCCCGGACCACCTCCTCAGGTATTGCGAGTCTAACATATCGGTCGTAGTACGGGGGTCAATCTTAAATTAGGCACTAAAATGATCTACACAATCAACTAATTCTTTCTATCATAGATAAATATAGGCAAAGTGATTTTTGTATAGATACTTCCGGAATTCCATAAAACTTCATCGTTACCCTCAACTGAAACGCATCATATGATCGGCAAGCTGAGCCGTTGGATAAATTTTGTATATTTTACTATCCATCCCTGGTCAGAACATCAGTTTTCATGCTCTTCCCACAGTGTTGTTGATTCTTACATGCATACAGTGGATGAATTCCGGCATGGAACACTACTTTACTTTCGGAACAAAGATGCAGTTTTATTTTAACATCCAATCCTATTGGACGGTGATTTAGTCGCAGAAAGGAACAGTGCGATTATTCCTTGGGTAGGCTCTTTTTACCTTTAGTTGTTCCGTTTAATAACTTGTGCTCCAAAATATGCGTAGCACATTTTATGCTGTGCAAATTCACAGTTGCTGCAGACGGTTTTCAGTGACGGTAATCAGTTGCGTTGAATGAACCATGTCTAGTAAAATTCGCACACTTCAATTTGATGTCTTTGATGCAACTTGTCAGATATTGTTGGGGAATACGATCGTGTTCCTCTCAAGTAGTGTCAAAACTAACATATCATCCGCCACGTACAACAGTTCCAGTAGACCGTCAAATACTTACATCAGCAGGATCTTGAGCTATGCCACTAGATACTTTCAAATCGGACGTCAAGGCTGACCATCCAAAGCTTCCATATGGCTTTCTAGATGTAGTCAGATCAATCCCCTCTTCGTGAAGTGCTAGTAAGCTGAGGAGACGTTGAACTTCGTGAACATCTTAGCCTTAAATAACACTGGTAGCCTATCGTCTAATGTCAGTAATGTGTAATACTTTCATCTAAGCGCTACGTTAAGCCGTTTGGTGTCGATTCAAGCATGCAAATCCCCCGATTTCATTGGGACGATCGCCACTTGGCTAACCTAAACTGGCTAGGCACCCAAACGGGACGAACGTTGCAAGATATCTGACAACCTGTCGCATAAAGCGAAATAGGAGGATAGGGCAATAAGTTTCCGGATGCAGACCATATTTTTAAAACAAAATAAACATTACCTTTTCTTGAAGTACTCTCCACCAGCGTTCATGCACATTTCAGTGCGCTCAAATTATTTGGTGAAGCAGTTAGCCCATACTGAAACAGGTAACCCTACAAACTGCTCAATAAACCCTCTACTGCAGCTTCTGGAGATTCGTAGCCGATTCCATGCATCATGCGCTTGAGATTTGGGAAATCAAAATAGTCATGTGGAGCCAGGCCTGGACTGTATGATGGGTGACCAACCTCTTACATGCGTTTTCTAACCAGAGAATCTACGACGACAAGGGACCTGCGTGTAGATGCTTTGTCAGGGTGCAGCAGGGTCCTTCGTGCTCGTGTCCTCGGGCGACGCCTGGCTACAGCACTTGTGGTATACAGAAGGTGACATACTGCACTCCAATGAATGTGCGTTGCCGTAGGAGCGGTGAAGTAGCTATAGGATAGGTCGTGGCCGTGAACATAGTCACAATCTGTTTGTCCACAGTGCACTCACGTCAGAATTTCTGAGGCGGCGCCCCACCCAAAGGGCCGTCCACTGAGCCCATTGCGCTTACTCACTGGGTGGAAACTGTATACCCAGGTCTCATTACCACTGAAGATCTCCCAAATAGCATTGGAACATCCACCATCAAGTCTGGCAAGCATTGTGCGGCACCAATTTAGCCGAGCTGCTTTCTGCTCCTCACTGAGCTGATGGGGTACCCAACGTGCATAAAACTTTTCTGAAGCCGGGGTTTTATGTAGAATAGTGCGAACTGTTCCCGATGAGATCCCAATGGCTTTCTCTAGCTGTACCACAGTAATCCGCGCACCCTTCTCCAACGTTGCTTGCACAACGGCAAAAGTGTCCGCGGTGGTGACCTCAACAGGTCACTCACGCCGCTTGCCACCCTTGAATCCCGCAAAACCCTCAAGCAGGGTGGTTATGAAGGTACATCATTACCAAACGTCGCACGGAATCGCTCAACACTCTAGTGCTGCTTTAAAGCAAATTTGTATTTATAGAAATTTATCGCTCCCCAGTGACATCGACTATGCTCCATACCTATAGTCAGATTATAGCGACCCATTTGACTTGCGAGCTGTGCTTGACTGCTGATACAGGGTTCTGTGAGTCGGAATCACCAAGCAATATTCAGAATTTATTACAGTCCACATTTTTTGCCAGGTCATCTGCAGCTATTCTGTGTACTGCGGATCCAGAAACTTATTTCCCTGCACTCGCATTTCTGCGGTGGTTGAACTTCCATGCTGTTCCCTGGAATGCGCCGGGAGTTGGTGAGATTGTCTGCCATGCAACCAAAAAGAATAGCATTGTTGGTTCACTTAGGGAATAATATTTACTCCAAACTTCTGCATCAGGTTGTTTCGGTAGACTAGTGCATTTATCCACTTTTAAATAAGTTTAGTTTCACGAAGTGGATAGAAGATAGCTCAGCACGTTTAAACTCTCTAGTCATGTACATGGAACGCTTTTGAGCCTTCAAGGGCCTTGCTACTGTGGTTATATTTCATCGGCAGGAAAACAGCTGTACTTTACGACTTTTGGGTGTAGGTGTAGAAAAAGTGTAACTTTTGCGTGTTTGGACTACGCCCACCTACTGTTGACCACTCACCATGACATCGATATCCACATTGGCTGCAATCAAAGCCTTCGTGAGCGAAACCGTGTTGATCAGATGCACGTTGTCTGAAATAACAAAACGGAACACGCATATTTCATGATTTCATGATATAAAGCACGCTGAAAGGTCACAATGGAATGTGAATGCGAACGTCAATTCCGAATCCACTAGGGAAAACTTTGACAAAACGTCGGAAGGCGATTCGTTAGAAAATGAACATCTGTTTTGTACTTTTCAACGAGCAAGTCATCGCAAAATTCTATTGGTGTAAGAGTCAACCTTCCTGTATCGTATTAACCACGGTTCCGGTGAGGTGCGAATATTCGCTTTGGTGATGCCGGGATTGTTAAATTGATAAAGTTCTGTATTTCGTCGATCAACAAGCCAACACCTACCGCAGAAGAAGAAATATTTTAGGTTGCCATGCTATTGTACTAGCAACTTTGTTCGTTGCACACAAGCACCAAGGGTCTGCCAAGCTGACAATCGTGGCCGAGCTATTTTTCCATAAATGAGGTCAACGCCCAAGTAAAAGAAAGAAAATAAACTTACCCATTGACACGTTACATTATTTGCTCGTTTAAAATCGCCCTATTCAGACGATTTTTACATGCTCTTGTAGCACAGTTTACTAAATGTCGATGCGTGTGCTGTTAAGTGGAATATCAACGTGGTGTGATTGTGCTCTAATTTCTTATCACGGATGGTGGCCGCCAATGCGGTATGTGCAGTGGCGTGGCAAACGGGACGGGGTGCGGTCCGACCCGGGCGGCAAGTGATAATGGGGCGGAAAATCTAGAACTGTTGATTTCTTGGTACCAAATATAAATAGCAAAATTTCCATATAAGCTGAAGGTTGAAAATGTTAGTTTTAGTTTATACGATCAACAACACCTTTGCAACATTTATCACTCCTGTGCAAAGATTCTTTCCAGCAAACCCCTTCTTGTCCCATTGTGGTCACTTTCACCACATTTACATCATTATCCCGAACAATCATCCATTTCATCGTAACTTAGTATGCGCTTTACCCTAAGCCGATTGTGTGGACTCCGCGAGTCAGTTCTTCAATCCGTCAGCGCGAAAATTTTGTCAAGGGCCGGGCGGCAAATTTAGTTGCTACGCCGTTGCGCGTGTGACTACCTGAAAAATCTAAGGCGGTCTGAAGATGTCGTGGAGGAGCGACTGGAGTCAAGCAACTGATAAAACCAGGTTCACGCCCCCCCTCACTGAGCAACACGTAGTCTCGTCAAGCACCCACAAGATGGATAATGGTTACACCCCATATATAGTTTAGCCGGGAGCATAGTAAAACCATTGGGCTTGCTTCACTATAGTAATGGGCATTTCGTTCCTTAGCCGATTTTAACTTGTGTCCTTAAGCCCAGCTTTACAAACTAATATTTGAACTGCAATCACCGACACGGTTGCGTCCTATAACAAATTTACAAGGCAACTTCTGGACTTAAGCAAACGTGAAATAACTGTACGGCCGTCGTACTCTTTCTGGACTCCACAACAATGAGCATTTTCTCTGATTCCAGTGGGAATCTCTGGTATTAGGAGACCAGCTATTAGACATTCATTTTTAGTGAACGAGCTTAATAGCTATTCTTACTCTTCCTATTTTCTCCTTTGGACTGTTGTTTAAACTCTCTACTGAGTTAGTCCGATTGGTACACCCACGTCATTGTTAGTGGACGCTCATCGTCATGTCCTTTACGGCAGTGCCATTTGCAAGAACATATTCCATTGTATTTTTCTTCTCATCACTGTTCTACTAGGTTATGTTAAAAGAATATTTAGTTGTCACACGATTATTGTGCTAATTTTTAATTTTTGGGTCTGCATTTCTTATTCACGCTTGTTTCGTGACATTTGTTTAAACGCTTCCTTTCGTTATTCTGATTGACCAGTGCCCGTCACTGTAAATGGATGTTCACTTTACGCTTGGGGTCCGATGATGCTATTTTTAAGGATATATGCGATTCGCTCTTGAGTACACGGTTACTTATTCGCCCGTTGCATTTGACGTTTTTTCTTCTGCTGGTTGGCTCAAGTGTAATTTAGTAGCTTCCCTTTATTTTGCCTTCAAAACTATATAAGCAACTGTCATTCCATGTATGCATGTCTCTTCCTGGCTCGTTTTTGAGCTTCTTCTTGCGGTCTTGGGGTGAAGACTTCAGCGGCGACACCACACCTGGTTCAGAACACTACGCCACAAGAGATGATGACGATCGACATGACTATGTCACTTGGTGAGTTACAGCGTGATGTATTCTGCATTGATCCACAGGTGACTGTCACGCAGCAGTACCGAATTCCCAGACTTCAGCCGCGGATCGACCAAAAGATTATCCGAAGTCTAGGCTGTGTACCTATTGTAAGAGAATTTAAATGATGGAACCGAGCTAGATTACACATAACGAATATGGATACAGTACATTGACCTATCCGCTGTCGTGGCACTGTGCACGGATTCCTAATAGTAGCTTACTGGTCCTAGCCGCAGAGGTGTCAAATGGGATGCGCGCTATTGACCATTCATGAATGTACGACCCTCCTGTCGTAATGGCCCACAGCTCAGGAAAAACCAAGTCTAGGGTTCGAACAACTCTATTGTTCAAACAAACACAAGCTCATTTTATACGCGTATCAATCACAACCACTTATAAATCGGAGAACTCCATCTGATCATTCTACTATTCACATTAAGTTGATCTCTGTTCTCGGCATTTCAGATCAATTATCTACCCGGCACCATCGATTTGGGGCGAGTAAGCAAGAGGTCGCCCTAGAGTCAATACTGTTTGCTTACCAGCTGTCACAGCATCTTCTGTTTTTCTTTCACTTCTTTGTCTTGGTGTCACAGGTTCCGCATTGTCATCCACTGGGATGGAGCTTTCGTACCTGGGCTGGGATCTTAGTTGGCTTGCTCTGCTGAGGAGGGTACTGATCAGGGTGCAGAGACTGTCCGTCGTATCGCCCTTTAAGCCGCATTCAATAGCTTCTCTTTATTTTATGATTTTCAGCTGCTCTACTTCCATCTTTCAGCTCTACGTATTGGTTTAAAATATACTTCCTCTATAGGTGCTAAAAATTGATGATGTCTTTGTCCGCGGTTGTAATGCGTCTTGCTCTGCTGCGATCGCTTTCAGAGGGGTCTAGCTAACCGCTAAGCAAATGTTTCTCGGGTTTCTAATTTACGGTTGCTCCAGTATCAGTTTGTGGTGGCACTGTTTGTCCTTTGATTGCCAATGTCATAATAACGCATCCCTGCTCTTCGCGATCTCTCCGATTTTTTACTGAAAGCACGCGTTATTTGATATCTTTCAATATCAAGTAAGTTATCGTTGGCCGATCGGCAACAACGTGCGAAAAAGTGTGATCACCATTCACAGTAATCACCAAAGCTCTCGACTGTTTCAGTAAGATCTACTTTTGGTCATAAACATAGAAGTTCCAAGCTTCTAACTGAAATGTTCGTCCCTCGCCTGAATTGTCGGTTGATTCTCAAACGAAACTCGAGGTCGCTGGCCCCCGCCGGACAGCGAGAAGACCGAAGCGGAGGAGCAGAAGAACAGAGATGATATTAACCAACCACACTGTTCATCATAAAGGTTAAATCAAAAGTTTATGAAAGGTATTTAAAGCTCAGGTGGAAATCTCTGGAAGGGTCAGCTTAAGTCCAAGCAAGTAATGCTACCCTCGTGTTAATTGGTCACTTCATCCGGTTAGCTGTCTGTTGGCCCCATCAGTGTGGGTGAGTTTGGCTGGCCTGCCATACCTCGGCTACGTAGCGGCGATAGGCGCCTCGGTTGTTAGGTTAACGTCTTCCCTCTTAACACCAATATCTGCCTCGCATCTTCGCCGATGCAATATCTGAACATGGCTGATTAATGTATTCTCAGATATTCATCTAACTCCATCAGCGTCGTGAAATCCATCCACTTCACATCCCACACTCTCCTGTCATTTGTGCAGAATATGGCACTTGGGTCAACGATTGTTCACCAAAGGTGAGTGCGGTTTGTTACGTCAGTACCTTTGACACCATGTCGTGTTGCTCTCCGAGAATCAATAAGAAACGTCGGCTACGATCACAAATCACTATTAAGAAGACTCATGGTTATTTATATATTACCAAAAGTATTTTGGTATTGTCTGTTTAATGGCTGAGCTTTGTCAACTGGCCTGTAACCTCAGCCACATCTTATTAGTTTGCACTCGTTCTGCATAAGTCCCACGCTTATAGAACTCAAGGTTGGTTCCGCGGGATCAGTTCTCCTGAATAGCAGCTGATCAATCATTCATCTTTTCGGTTGCTGCTTTCTCAGTTGACCATCTGCGACGGCTGCTACAGTGGTCTCAGACATATGTCATCCAATCGCTGTACGGCCAACGATTCTGCTTTTCCGCTTTCTGCAGGACTTGACCAGCCCTGCGCTCTTGGCTTTTGTCTGATTGGTCCCGAGTCCATCGGCAACACATCGATTCCATCCGCCTCTGGTCACAGCCACCATCACACCCTATGCAGCGAGTTTCTGGACGTAGCATTTGTGCATGGGAATATTTACAAACCTTACTAATGCCTTGTAGCTCAGCTTCCTTAAGCTTCTGTGTACCTGCACTCACGTTTCTCCGTTCGTGTCCACAGGGGTTACAACCACGACTAAGTACCCAAACTGATTAGTCTCATGTTCGGTGTATGTGCTGGTTTTTCGAATTTGGTTTTGTTTTTATCTTCAGCACTGGTATTATCAAGCACAGTGACCAAGATGATAGCCACTTGTTCCACGGTAACAAGCTAACTCAGCTTGGCGATTATGCACTAAATTTCATTTAGATTATCACAGGTTTGCTTATCACAACCTGAGTGACAGGCAGGTTAACCCCAGTTTTATTTTGGTGACCGGGAGAGTGGGTGCAGAACAGAGGCCAGTTGCTAATTATGCTTGAAGTACTCTTCCGATGAAGGTCGTATTTTTGTTTTGTATTGCATAAACAATAATGAAGCCTACCTAATTTTACTAATTGCCACGGGCCTGACTAAACCGTTAGCTCG